TCTGGAATGAGATGATATTTCATTGTGGTTTTTGATTTGCATTTCCCTGATGATTAGTGATGTTGAGCATTTTTTCATATACCTGTTGATCATTTGTATGTCTGCTTTTGAGAAATGTCTATTCAGGTCTTTTGCCCATTTTTTAACAGATTATTTCTTTTATGCTATTGAGTTATATGCTATTTGAGTTATTCTTTATATCTTCTGGTTATTAATTCCTTGTTGGAAGGATAGATTGTGAATATTTTCTCCCATTCTGTAGGTTGTCTCTTTACTTTGTTAATTGTGTTCTTTGCTGTGCAGAAACTTCTTAGTCTGATGTAATCCCATTTGTCTATTTTTGCTTTTGTTGCCTGTGCTTTTAAGGTCTCACCAAAAAAATTTCCCGACCAATGTCCTGTAGCATTTCCCCAATATTTTCTTTTAGTAGTCTCATAGTTTCAGGTCTTACTCTTAAGTTTTTAATCCATTTTGAGTTGATTTTTGCATATGGTGAAAGGTAGGTATCTAATTGCATTCTTCTGCATGTGGATATCCAGTTTTGCCAGCACCATGTGTTAAAAAGACTGTCCTTTCCCAATGTATGTTCTTGGCGACTTTGTTGAAAATGAGTTGGGTATAAGAGCATGGATTTATTTCTGGATTCTCTATGTTGTTCCATTGGCCCATGTATTTGTTTTTATGGCAGTACCATGCTATTTTGGTTACTATACCTTTGTAGTATAATCTGAAGTCAGGTAGTGTGATGCCTCCAAGTTTTGTTCTTTTTGCTGAGGATTGTTTTAGCTGTTCATGGTCTTTTGTGATTCTATGTGAATTTTGGGATTGTTTTCTCTATTTCTGTGAAGAATGTCATTGGTATTTTGATAGGTATTGGATTGAATTTATAGATCACTTTGGGTAGTATAGGCATTTTAACAATATTAATTCTTTGAATTCTTGAGCATGGGATATCTTTCCATTTTTTTATATGTCCTCTTCCATTTCTTTCATCAGTGTTTTATAGTTTTCCTAGTAGAAATCTTTCACATCTTTGGTTAAATTTATTCCTAGGTAATTTGTTATTTTTGTAGCTATTGTAAATGTGATTGCTTTCTTGATTTCTTTTTCAGATGATCACTGTTAGTGTATAGAAATGCTACTGATTTTTGTATGTTGATTTTGTATCCTGCAACTTTACTACATTCATTTATCAGTTCTAAGAGTTTTTTTATGGAGTCTTTAGGTTTTTCTAAATATAAGATCACGTCATCTGCAAACAAAGATAATCGACTTCTTTCTTTCGATTTGGATGCCCTTTCTTTCATTCTCTTCCCTAATTACTCTGGCTAGGACTTCCAGTGTTAGTTGAATAAAAGTGGTGAAAGTGGGTATCCTTGTCTTGTTCTTGATCTTAGTGTAAAGGCTTTCAATTTTTCTCTAGTCAGTATGATTTTAGCTGTTGGTTTGTCATATTTGGTCTTTATTGTGTTGAGGTATGTTCCTTCTACATCCAATTTGTTGAAGGTTTTTATCATGAAGGGATGTTGAATTTTATGGAATGTTTTTTCAGCATTTATTAAAATTATTATATGGTTTTTGTCCTTGATTCTGTTGATGTGATGTATCATGTTTATTGATTTG